GTTGACTTATTATTGTAAAAACACAAACAATTAATAACTTAACAAGGATCAATTTAAACCCGCGACAAATAAATTGACAAGACACGAGATACAGTTTTAAAAACTTTATTGAAAACCAGTGACAAAAAGAGTCAAATACACAGCGATTTGGAAGGGATGGAAATTAGACCTCTTGTTCGTTCTCCTCTCTAGAAGGTGAATAAAAATTGGTCTCCAACGTCTTGGCGTTTTTGTGTGTAATTAATCCACAATCGTGACACCGAAGAAAGCCCTCTTTGATGTAGTTTCTCTCCTCGGGGATCTGGTGATCGCATATAGGACAAATCTTGTAGTTATCGTGCCAAAAGCATTTAGAACATTTCATGATCAATGTGGAGTACACATTAGAGTTTTCGCAATTTTCACAGGGACTTTTAGAGTGAACGGTGGTGGACGTTTCAGGGCTACTACTTTCTGTTTCCTCACTATCGTTTTCAGTGTCGTTGTCGCTCTCTTGGGTGCCTTCAGCTTCAACGCCATTTTCAGAAACCACTTTCTCCTCCTCCTCCTGATTTTCAATATCTGATGAACTCTCCTCATTATTACTCTCATTATCGGAAGTATTTTCTACATTTCGGTAGCCTTTTTCCTTTTCTATTAAATCGCTTAACAACTTTTTGTTCTTGATTAAACCTTTATCGATTCCTAACTCTGCAAGTCCATCTGGAAACGTATTCAGCGCACGAGGCTTGGTAACCTCATTGTTATGAGGGAGTAACACATACTCAACTAGCTCGGCGATATTTGTGACGGGAATAGTGCGTTTATTTCGAAGTAATTGTCCGCTGGGAGTCCAGAAAAGAATATCTTTGGACGCGGCCATACTATGCAGCAAATCAGAAGCACGCTTTTCCGACACTGCTCGGGAAAGATGACTAAAAACATCTTTTATTCTTGGTTCTTCATCCTCGCTTTCATCACCATAACTTTCGCTTTTTCATGTTCACTCTCGTGTTCTTCTTCAACCAAATCTATCTTTCTCTTCATTTTGATGAGTACCCGTGACAGACCGTTGATTCAAATGAATAACTTACAGTTTCGTTTCCTCTTTTATATCATCAAAAATCGTAGGCTTGTAACAGCAGGTACCAATAGGTCTTGAATAAAACCATCACCCTCTTGAATAAGGATTCGCTTCTTTGTTTTGTAAGGGACATTTGTTTCTGCTAGGTTTACTAGAGCATCCTTATATGGTAACACGTTCCGCTTATTTTCTTCGGGGATAAGAATGTATTCCTTAAGTATATTGTATAAGACCTGGACTAATGCATGTAGTTGTTGTGGACTGGCTGTCCGTAAAAGAAACTGTCGCTGATGAGCTGGACAAACAGCTAAGAATTGAAGAAAACCACGATTGTTCTTGACAACTTGAGACATTGCGACAAACTGAACTTATGATAGTAGTTTGCAGTCTTTTATTGACTGTCGTGGAGAAAAACAATGGAAATGTGGTGGTGGTGGTGGAGGGAAAACAATAGAAATGTGGTGGCGGTGGTGGTGGTGGGGGGTGGTGGAGGAAAACTATTGAATTTTACAGCCTTCAAAACTATATCAATGCGCATTATGCTAGCATTTTTTCAGTCTACATTCTGCCCCTGAGAAGCTGACATGAGTTGGTTCTGTTCCATTTGCGAAAAATCATTTAGTTGAAACGATAGCATGCAAAGGCACGTGATGTCTAAACGCCACAATGTTGGTCTCACACCATTTCAAACAGTTCCGTTTTCACAGAAATGTCACCGGTTTCGATTCGAGCATCCTTTTACCTCCATGATTGCTGGAATGACCGGCTCAGGAAAGACGGCCTGGGTTCGATCTCTATTGCAACAAGCTTCAGAGACAATTAACCCTCCCCCGGAGAGGATTGTTTGGTGTTATTCACAATGGCAGCCTGCGTATACAGAAATGCTAGTCGTCATGCCACACATTGAATTCGTCAAGGGAATTCCCACGGCTTTAGCGCAGGATTCCTATTTTGATGTGAACAAACGGAATTTGATCATGTTTGATGATCAAATGATTGACGCTAGTAAAGACAAGCGAATTGTGAACCTCTTTACTCGTGGTTCTCGTCATCGCAATCTAAGCGTGATTTATATCGTGCAGAATCTATTTCACCAGGGGAAAGGTAGTCGCAGCATAAGCCTAAACAGCCATTATTTGGTGTTATTCAAGAACCCACGAGACAAATTGCAAATCTTGACTCTTGCCAAGCAAATGTATGCTGGGCAAACTGATTTCTTTTTAAATCAGTACGAGGAGGCTGTAAAAAGACCTTTTGGTTATCTGCTGATTGATCTGAAAACTACTACCCAAGATAATTGTCGACTGCGAACAAACGTCCTGCCCAGTGAAGAAGGTCTTAACCAAGCGGGGTTTCAAGAAAATATTCCTCAAGAGCTTTTAAAATATCTAAAGCAGCAAAATCTTTCGCCTGTCCCACTTCTTCCAGTTATGCAAGAAATACAGGGCAACATGGATGACTTGCTTTCTCTAAACGATCTTCGGGACGATGAAAAAGCTAAGAGATACTTTAAACTGCAAAACAGATACCTGGCTTTTAAAGAACAATTAAATACAGGAACACGACCTGAAGAAAGCACTGTTCCAGACTTGACATCAAGCACACAAGATTCTTGGACAGCAACGGCAGCATTCTCCACTCCCATTAACCCCTTCAACGTAACATCTAAATTAACACAAGCGGCCTGAAAAAAAACCTGAAAACGAAAGCTCCACCCCACCACAAACCTTAAATCCTGCTTTTCTGACCCCTCCTCCCACAGTAGAAACCCCATCACAGGGCCCGAAGCGCAAAAGGCGTCGGATTCAATTTGTAAATTATTTGGATGATCATAATGCTTATGGCAAACAGAGGAAACGAACTCGGCATAAGAAATTTCGAGTTAGACCTTACAAATACTCCATGGGCGAAGAAGATGATTAATTTCCGTCCCTTCCAAATCGTTGTTTATTTGACTCTTTGTCACTGGTTTTCAATAAAGTTTTTAAAACTGTATCTCGTGTCTTGTCAATTGATTTATCGCGTGTTTAAATTGATCCTTGTTAAGTTATTAATTGCTTTTGTTTTTACAATAATAAGTCAACGTACTCCCTTGGGTCTAGCTGTAGAGATGAACTAATTTGTATTCAAGTTTGGGCTTGTTAACCCGCATAATTAACTGACTAACGGCGACCATAAGCTCATCAAGCGCTGAGATTTCAATAGTTAGTCGTTTCCTCGAGATAGAACGGAGAAAACGGTTTCGTAATGGTGAGTCAAAATTGAAATAGAGAGTTTTCAGCTCCACTCTGTGTATGTGTGTGTGTTTTGCTTATATATCCGATTTTTAGCGCTAAACAAGAAGACATGTGTTGCTAGGCGATCGCACCTCTTATTCCTATTTTTGTAAATAGACTTTCCACTCATTAGGAACAAGAATGGGGTTTATTTAAGAACCAAAAGAGTTAGGGTTTACTTTAGAACCACCTGTTGTTTTCTATAGAATTTTCATACCCTGTGCAATACTTTCTACAGAGTCAAGTAAACAAAGATTGACATTTTTGCTTGATAGGCAGTTTTTCGCTTCGCATAGCTTCGACCTCGTTTTCATGTTTTGCCTGAAAAATTAGTACGATTTCGCATTCGCTTAACCTCCTTTTCCCTTCTTTTGAAGTAAAGATTTTTTAGTAAGCCTCCGTGTCTTGGTTTTGTTTATAACCGATTTTTAGTGAAAATAATTTAATGATTAAAGATTTTTCATTTAGTATAATCTGCAAAGATAACACGTTCAAAATTTTTCCGCTTTTATTTTGAACACATGACAGTTTCTACAATATCCAATCAGAAGACTATAGCAAACAATATCTGATCAGAAGACTGTAGCAAATAGCCAATTATGTAAAAATCACTTTTCTGTTTATAGATTATGATCTCAACATTTTTTGATGACGTTAACTCTAGGAAATTCTGACGTCACTTGCTCCTTGCCAGCTACAAATAAACTATGACATCATCCTATCTATATGACATGTATGACGTCATCGGCATTAATTTAAAGTATTACATTATCCTATCTTAATAGCATACGTAACGTCACCGGCATTAATTTAAACTATGACATCATCCTATCTTAATGAGATGTATGACGTCATCTGCGTTAATTTATACCACTCAAAAAGTTAATTAAATCCACAAAAAAAGGCGTAACCGGTCCCTTATTCACTACTGTGGTGCAGTGTGAACTTGTGCATTTTTACAAAGCAAGAGAAAATAAGAAAAACGTCACTCTATGGCTGGTCTGGAAATGCCATATTGTTAACGTTTTGCACATAAGTTAAACTCAGCAGACGCTTGTTAACTATGAGTTGCAAAATCGTAAGGTCATTTCTCTGATATATAACCTGCACTGAGATTTTTGTTGTTGGTAGCATACGTATCTAAAAGGAATTAAACACGTGGAGCCCCCCTTGCTCGTTTAGGAGAAGCGGCACATTGTGTATAGCTAGTGTATATTTCCCTTACAATAACGATATGATTATACTTACGAGTACAAGTTTTAACACGTTTCCGACGGTTGCTTCTTTCTTGGCAGGAGGAAATGTTTCATAATTCTTCTCTTTTGGTGAGATTTGGCCATAGAGCAAAAGCCGCCAATTTTTTTTATCTGCACCCATTTATCACACGTGAAACGCAAAGGAATAGTAAAAAGTAATTTTCATTGTACACTTGGAGAGCCAACTTACCATGGAACGCCCCGGAGGACGTATTTTCAGTACTCAGTTATTATCTAAAGTATTCATAGAGGTACAGATAGTAAAGTTGTAGAAAAGGAGAGAAACAACACCTTTTGCTGTTTATTGGCAGAAAATATCCATTCATTAGTGGGAGTAGCTGGACCAATAGTGTAAGGTATAATTAAGATTGCTCTCTGACTAATGGATTAAAAAAAAAAATACAGGCGTCGAGGGGCCCTCTACACAAGGCTGCTATCAATGGACAGTTCAAAACAATCAAAGTACTTCTTGAAAGTGGTGAAGATGTGGATAAAAAAGATCAGGTTTGTGTCTTGTACAGCTTAATATTTTAATTTAATTTTAAGCCCGCTTCTCACGAGAAATCCTCGTATAAATGACCTTTGCGCCTTATGAAAGACGTTAACGCATTGTGCGTATGTGTTATTATAACACGTGTTATGGTGGAATGCCGTTGCCCGGATATAAGACCCGAACAAGACGCGAACCATTTATACGAGTTCTTCGCGTCCTAAGTAAGACGTGCCGACCTAATTCAGAAGAGTCTTTTGTAGGACGTGTTTTATTGTTATTAGTATATGTCAGCGGTCGTGTTCATAGCGCTAAAACGTGTCTTTTCGGGCTCTTCCAATTTGAAGCTTTTATTCATCATTCTCATGTCCCAGTTTCTGGAGGCTTTAATTCTCACCATGACTCTGTTAAACCACTTTTCCACTCGCCTCTTCTTGACCGGCTGAAGCGTCATCTTGAATTGGCTTGTTCTAGAAGTGCAGGTTATCTGTCCTTCAAGTTAATTCTTTACCCGAACTCTGATTCTAACTCTCAACTGACGAGATTAACTTCTAGTGGCGACATTAGCTTGAATCCTGGTCCAGAAAGATGCTCTGTTTGTGGTAATTCCGTCGCTCGAAACCATCGTTCCCATCCTGCGACTCCTGCGAACTTTGGTGCCACATCAAGTGCGGCCTAATCACACCGAGGGAGTTTAAAAGGTTTCAATCACTCGAAAACTTCAACTGAATTTTCCCCGTTTGTCTTGCCTTGTATTCTTCTGTGCCTATTGACCATAAATCTATCTCCTCTCCTTCGATCTCTGGCCATGGTCTAAACTGCTTTGGTTTATTTTTTATATTTAAGTGCACACTCATCGACATGTCAGAAGATTCAAAACGTCCTCGACCTTGTCCTTTCATCGACACCTGTTTTAGTCAGCTACGTCAGCTGTTGGCCAAATTTTTGTAATTATTAATGGAATGACCTGCAACGTTGCAATTGGGCTCAATTTTAGTGTTACACTTGGTTTGTTTCTTGTAAACTAGCTAACAAGGACATAGTAAAGAGGCTAAAAATAAGTACAACAACATCCCATTTATTTTATAATAGGCCATCGTTACACTGCACTATTTGCCTTATTTCAACCTCTATCTATGTCTTTCGCTCGTTTATATTACTTTAAACTGAGATACTACATTGGCTGAGCTCTGTTTACTGGGCAAGGAAGACACAGATGCTATATGGGTAAAAATAGCTATGGGTCGACGTCCTTTCACATTGAAGTAGCGAGGCAGAATGACACATAACTTCGCGTCCCCGCGTGGTCAACAATGCGCTCTATAGAAGAGTACAAAGGATTGCCCACAACCACTCAACCTGTCCTGAATTGATAATTACTCACTCAAGTGAAAAACTCATATTAAATAATCGATTAACAATACTTCTCGGGTAAGGACATAAAATTTCTATTTGTTAACAAATATTTCTTATATAACTGTTTTTTGTCCGCTTTTCTGTAGTTTTCTATGACGCCTCTTCATCTTGCCTGTTGGTATGGACAGGAATCTGTGGTCAAACTGTTTTTAGAACACGGTGCGAACGTCAACGCTAAGGACAGGGTGAGTCAGTGAACTTTCTTCAATTGAACAATATAGTGCCATGAAGGGGTGGGGTAAGGGAGGCTGTTGTTTGTCTAGTATTAGTGATTCACACAGGAATCTCTTTATGTTGGCCAATTATTAAATTTATCCTAGCGACAGTATTGATACAACCCCCTATCTTACTATGGTACATAGTACATTTTGTGTTATTGCAATGGTAATTTGTTAGCTAAGATTTTCGTTGTGTTAACACACAACTTTTTATTTGTTATTCACAGGAAAAAAAAAATGGGTGGTAGAAACCTTTGATTTACAAACAGTGTCAGGAAAGAATAAAAATTAAACCCTTATAACCGTAAGCTTGAGAAAAGAACCTTTCGAATTTTTTTTGCGTTTTTAATACCTTCACATATTACAAATATTTTACTTATTACGACGTTTTCATTGTCCAGTTTCCTTTAATCATCTTCCTCGTGTTTGGGATCATGGATTTTTGTGAGCTAAAAGAAACTTATTACCAGGGTGGTACACATACCGGTATGGAGGAGGGAGTTTGGCCTATTCCAGGGCCGACTGTGACTGTGACCGTTCTTGGGTAGAGATGGAAGGTGCACAGATCGCAATAGGAGAGGGAGTTGGGCTTCCTCTTAGGGTTGGCTCTGACCAATCGTAGGCCTTCCTACGGCCCCCACTAACCTATATGTGTATCCCAGGAGTGAAAAAAATGTCGAGTCTATGGGGGCGAAAGTGTGACGAGAGGAGCACTTTATCCCAATTCGCACCTTTTTTGAAAAACACAGCTGTCTTCAGAGTAGAAGTACAAGATAGAGACAACCAAATTGACTAATTAGATGTCATATCAGTGCATCAGGTTGGAGCTCTCAACCGAAAGGGACATCCATGTGTTGACGCAGATATTGATTACTGTAGTGGGTGGGATGGGAGGGAAAAGAAAACAGAGTGACGAAGCATATCGAAGCATACAGTGGCTGTACTGGTACAAATATTTCTTAACAGTGGGAAATACTGCGAGCGCAAAAGGCGCGAGCCTCTAGGGGTTTCTAGCGGCAAATTGCTACCCCAGAAAATGTTGAAATCTAGAAACCTGGAAATGCTATTTTTAGTAGTCTCCACGTGAATATTTCAAACTCGATCAAGTCTAAAATAACAGGTATTTTTAGTCATGACAACAATATTTCCGTTTGACTTGGAACATTCAAAACTCGGCGTGTGGGCCGCACGAAATCTCGGAGCAAACGCTTAATGTATTAAACACATATCACCTAGGTCCCCCAAAATCGTATTCCCTGCCTTTCGTCTTTCGAGACTCCATTTGTCAGATCCGGAACGCCTGTTAACGAAGTATCTTCAACGGTGGGATTATTTTGACCACATATAATACTAGGTCACTAGGATATACTGGGGCCACAATATGGACAACTTAATTATCAACTCACAACAGGACTATTCCGTTTCGTAAAACAAACTTTGCAATTCCATCATCCTCGGGTGGAGGCCTTCAAATAAATTGACAACTTCGTCCAGATCGATAGGCATATCGTACTTGATATGCATGAAAGCCAGTGAGGATAGCCTACTCTCGTCCTTGGTACATCTCATGTAATTGTTTAACCTTCTCATTGTGCTGATTGAACGCTCGCACTCGCGCGATGGAAGAGTAGCCGCAATCTCGAGAAGAATGTTCAGGCTAGGATCACATGCTTTCAAGGACGCAGCACATGAATCATTTTGTCAACCCCAACTCTATACTTCATGCAAGGCTTTCGAATTTCATTTGTACTCAAACTCCTAACAATTCTTATTTGTGCCCGTAAGACTTTCCCGATACTGTCAGCGTTTTCTTGCAGGGTAATTTAAACTGAGTTAAAACACTCAAAGTTTGTTTTCCATTCATCCACTATTTGCTAAAAGCTGAAAATTAACAGCTTGTGTTTTTAGTCTCCCATCATTGATCTGCAAAGGGGGTTCGTTCGTTGATTGACTAAAATTTATTTCCGGTGATCAATAAATTATGATCTCTCAGAACACGTGTTAATTTGAAAGTTTCATTGCACTGGCATTTGCTCTAATCCCATCTGCGAAATCCGCGTCTAACTCTTACCTATATCACCCTTAGAGGCTTGTTATGTTTCCTTCTCTCTTCCTGTATTTCATTTGAGTACTTTTGCCACTGCATCTTTACACATTAAATGAATCAGCTACATTACAGTCTTTTATGGATGTTACTGGAATTGTAGCATGCCTGCAACAGAATAGGAATTGCTTCCCCACTGGAGGGGAACTGCTCTTTTATCTTTGCTGTTTTGGATTACCAAAAACCTTTCCTGCAAGATCGATAGTTAAAGCCCATGGAAAGAGATACCTTTTTGTTTTTGTTTTGTTTGTTTGTTTTTTTTTTCTAGAACAAAAAGAAACAACAACAGGAAAAGATTTTGGTCCCGCAGGCTACCCAAATCGTTTTAAATCGTTTCCTTGTTAAAGATTTTTTTTTCTTTTGAGGTTAACATTAGATTTTGTTAAAGAACAATTATTGAGACCATGCTTCAACACTTATGTCCAGAGGGTAATGCGCATGTGAAATGCACCGAATTTTTTGTTTGTTTTGTTTTGTTTTTAATGGCTCTGCTGTGTAATTTTTGTTCTTAAGAGTACGTTGCGTTACGTTGTGTAGACAAGGCGGAGATATGTAGTTATGTAGAATTAATGTTTCTATGATAAATAGTCAAAAGTAGGTAACACAATTAACTCTCCTTCGATATGTTTTTAGTTTCAGCGGAATCCTCTGCAAAAAGCCGAACGTCAAAACCACCATTCCATAGTGCAGTTGCTGCTGAAGAATGATGCCAGGCCATGTCCTCATCAACCAGTAAGTTATGGCAGATTGTGCCCGGAAAACTATCTCACATTTCTGCTTTAACTTATAAGGTTATAGACTTGCAGCGATAACAACCGCGACCACCTCTTCATTTTGTGTAGAACACGTCTATCTGCAATATGAATACAGGGCAACCATATAAACTATTATATGCAAAAATCTACTTACATGTAGTATTAAATGGATTCCCTTTTTATCACTTTCTCTTATAAACTTGGTCATTTTTAACAGGTCAGTCTAAAAAAACTCTCAAGGAAAGCTTTCACGCAATTGGATAAAAAGGCTGGATTTAATCTACCCCAGGCGGCTGTCTTAGAGGATGAAAATGACATTGTTTTAAAAGCTCATGGACTTCCAAGTTATGAAAGTATCAAAAGACTTTATAATGAGTGTGCTAAGGACAACAGTAGACAGACTAAGCTGCAGTGGGCTACATGTAATGATGATGCGGAACAAGCTGTTGAGCTTGTATTAAATGGCGGTGCAGCTATTAATGCCCGAGCGTCAGGTAATGGTTACACAGTTTTGTTGCAGGCGAGTCGTTCATCCTCAAGTCAGTTCATTGAGACCCTCATTGATCTTGGGGCCGACGTTAATATCCAAAGAAAAAAGAGTAAAGAAACACCATTAAAATTAGCAGCTGTTTGGAACAACTATATGGCAGTGTGCTTGCTTGTAAGGCACGGAGCTCATGTAGATGTTCAGGATAGTTATGGATTCACACCACTACACATTTCAGTCAGAAAGGGTCGCGAAAATCTTATCAAATTACTACTTGCAAATAAAGTAGACGTAAATATTCAAGATGATGATGGATATTCACCCTTACACTGGTGTGCCTTTGAGGGTAACGAAAACCTCTGTAGATTGTTACTTGAACACAACGCGGATGTAAATATTCAAGAAAAACACGGATCTACACCCTTGCACTGGTGTGCCTTTAAGGGTTACGAAAACATCTGTATATTGTTACTTGAACACAACGTGGATGTAAATATTAAAGATAAAGATGGATGTACACCCTTGCACTGTTGTGTCAGAGAGGGTAACGAAAACATCTGTAGATTGTTAATTGATCACAACACGGATGTAAATATTCAAGATAAAGATGGATGTACACCTTTGCACTGGTGTGCCATAGAAGGTAGCGAAAACCTCTGTAGATTGTTACTTGAACGCAACGCAGATGTAAATATTCAAGATAAATATGGGTCTACCCCGCTGCACCTGTCAGCTCGTAGAAACAGGGATTGCAGTGAGATAATCGATCTCCTGGTGAAGTATGGGGTGCAAAACTTAAGCATCCGTGATGCAAAAGGCAGGACTCCTCTTCAAATGGCAGTGAGACTTTGGAACGCCCAAGCTGTGAAAACGCTTGTTGACTTAGGAGCTGATACTAGTGTGGTTAAAGCCGATGAAAAGGGTGCCATCATACTGGAACGTTTGAAGAATGAAGCGGAGAGGATCAGTGGCGGATCCAGGGGAGAAAACGACTCGAGGTAATCGTCTGAAATTCAGGCTAAGCTGTTTCATCAGAAGATTTCAAGAGAAGATTGTGCTCTTATTAAGCTGACGTTAAACTAGTTTGTCTAAAATTGATGACAAAAATAGCGAGAGTAACGATAATCCTCACCTATTTTGCCTTCATTTTATGCTTACAACATTCGCCCGTACACACCCGCTACTCCTTCACCCACTGATTCTATCAGTGGAGGGGAACCAATGTATTTCCAACACCTGGCAAGCCACAGATTGCTAGCGAAACCACTGATTTATTTTTTAGAACGCCATTGAGTTGGCCTGCTTCGAAGAGATATCCTTTCCTTTTTTTCTATTCGTACTTTTTTGTAGTGTGAGGCGTTTTGTTTGGAAAAGGCGTAACGTCTCCAGACAATAGCACAAGCAAGCATTGTTTAAAATTAAGAAGATTTAATTTTCCTCTCTTGGTAAAACTAATAAGTAATAACGTTGTTTATCAATGTTTTCAAATGTTATGCATATGTTTTTATCTTAATACTGAGAGAAAGTTTCAATAGTCGTTTTCAGGATGACATTCAAGGAGGTTTTACAATCCATATTAAGAAAACAATAACTCAAGGTTTTCGTTTGTTGACGACATCAGCCAGGCTCTATTTCAGCCGCTCGCTCCGTCCTACCCAGGAGGAATAGCGCGGGCTCATTTTCCTAACAGCGGCTGGTAATCGAGCCGAGATATCAGCGTACATGCTCAGTGGGATTAGGAAGCACACTCGCGTTAGTTAAATAGGCAAATATTCTAGCTCTGTTTTTGTTGTTGTTGTTTTTTTAATAATTTAAGAAATTTTGGAAGATTTGCGATATTCAGTTTTCGTAATTCTGCATTGTGAACAACGGCAAGAGATTTAGGGAGTGTTCAGTGAGTTGTTTTTAAATAGGAAGTCTTGGTTATAGATTTTAGCTTCGGGTATTTCTGCCTTTGTAGCATGAAAAATAGGAAAACTTTTAACTGTGTAATTTAAACGGCGGGGTTTTAAGCAGCATAATTGTATTGAAGTTCTCACTAATTAGCTACTTTCTACTGCGGTTTTATGGGGAAAAAATGCTTTTTCAAGTGAGATAGTCATCGCTACTGTTCATTTGTATATAGCCCACATTTTAGAACTGGACATCTTATATGTCAAGCTACCACTGTGAGTAATAAAGTACAATAGTTTTCTGATGGGTTCATCAGTGGTGTTATGTCCTTTAATAGGGAGCTTTAGCATCGACGACGGCAACGGCAGCGAAAACGTCGGTTTTAAAATGAATTCCCGTCTTTTCAATCTTTGTCGCGTTTATTCCAATTTGCTGAAAATGGCAAGTGTAGGCGAACTCCCTGGAGCTGATTTCTTGAGAACCGCACTGAAGTTTAGAGAGAGAAAAAGAGATTCGTCGTCGCTTGTTTACGTCCGCCATAAAACTTGCAATTAGGCATTTTCACGTTGTAGTCGTGCAAGGACGGTAAAGAAATGTACAAAAAAGCGTGATGCACGTGCAAAGTTGTTGTTTTGCGTAATAGACCTATTGCTTTTTGGACGTCCTGGTTGCCGTCGCCGTCGTCGTTGCTAAAGCTCCCTAATAACTGTACAAAACACACAACATCAGTCATCGTCAACACCATGTTGAAGCAGCTGACCAGAAGAGACCATTCTGGCCTTCATAACCATGGGCTATTGTTTGGAACTAAACAAGCTGTTACGTTTTAGGGGTTTATGACAACTGGAAAGCGTCGAAAGAACTTGAAGTTCTCCGAGAGTAGAGCCATTTCGTAACGTGATCTCTTCCTCTCTCTCGCCATTTAGTGGAACTCTGGGACGCACGATCACGTGATTTTGTGCAAGCACATGGTGAACAGAATGTAATCGAGTCGTGTCGTTTTCTTTATTAAAATTTAAATTTAAGAAAAATCCTCTCGTACGCCTACAAGTGGTGGAGAATCTAAAGTCATGACAACTGTCGAAGAACTACAACGAGTTTTATCTGTTCTCGTAACCGTCGTAAAGCAGCTAACCACAAGCTATCAAGCATCATTCAGGACGATAATTAATGTGTTTGTCAGCTGGCCAAAGTTATTTATTCATATTACATCTTAAATACTAGCAAACACGGATGTGGAGCGAGTTGGCACAAGAGAAAGATAGCATACTTCGCCCAGTAAGATTTCCCTCTCGATCGTTCACATCAGCGGAATCCCGTTGGACCACAATGCAAACGCATCAGTAACCTTTTGCTGTGAAATGGGGACTTGAACAGTTCGGTCATACATAAAAGTCCCCATTTCACAGCAAAAGGTTAAAAAATTGTAACAGAGCACGTAAATCTTAGGCCTAGTTCAGACGCCGTACTTTTGATGCGCCGAACCTAACTGAATAAGTTTGACTTTGGAGTGACATTGGCGCGACATCTGATTCAGACGGCGCACCGTGTTTCGAGGCTAAGTTAAGTTTGACAAACGTTCGACAGACTCTGTCAAACTCAACGCTTTTGCGACACCAAGCAAAAACTGTCGTACCAAATTGATTCAGACGCCGCTCTTTTGCCGTACTTAATTCATCAGTTAGGTTTGGTACATGAGTGGAGCGGCGTCTGAACCAGGCCTAAAATGTCTAACTACCTTAGCACCGCAACAGGCCAAAGTTGCTCGGTGGTGTATGAGCATGGCAGAGTTTAATTCTTTATTGAACACAGGTAAGGGGATATAAATGAGTTTGGTATTCGAATTCAGATTGGGCTTTAGCCAGAGCTATAGATATTAGGTACGATATACACAGTTTTTAAGAAAGGTTAACATAACTGCCCCGATCTTCTTGAGTTGCATTACTATTCAATTTTCTCCTACGTGTTAGTTGTGACTAACTCAAACTTCGTCAGGGATCGGTGTTCTACAACACGACTAGGTGTTTCTGCATTTACACCTAAAACAAACTGTGGGCCCCCAAAACATTTTTTCACGCATAATTTGTTTCACGAAAGGTAAAATTTGGTTTGCTTTAGGTAAAACGACAAACTCATCCCTACTGCAAGGCGATGAACAAGCGAACAAAAGTATAAAACAAGAAAATGTATTTAAACAAATTTGCCCAATATTTATAGATTTATTAATGAGTGTATGACAGATAAATGAACCGGGTTATTCCTCATTATTATTATTATCATTATTTGATATCGATGAGTCTTAATTTCATCCGGAGGTTTGTCTCATATTTCTGAGTAAAAGTGTTGTTTAAAAAGGCATTCAAAGATTCAAGTTACAGCTAAATTATATTAAAAAGCGTGCAAAGAGAGTAGACAGAGTAGTGTCCAGGCAATAGCCCTGGGGTACTGGATTTTATGATTGGGCTAGTGAACTGCGTTTTTAACTTGCCTGGCTGGCAAGTAAAGTTTTTTAGGGAATTCAGATTACAGAAGAACTGTAATCAGTCCCATTCATGAAAAAAAATTGAGGCTACTCAAAATGGCTTCCATGCGAGTGTATGCTAGGCAAGCTGTAAAGCTGACTTTCTTTGCACCCTGAACAAAATATAATTGAAAACGTAAGTCTCTTTTCTACTGCTTTGTGAGAGTCCAACATTGAAAGACATTTCAAGTAACTAAGGTCAATACAGGTAGGTTGCAGGGAGAAAAAAAAACATTATTGCCGCCACAACATTAATCTAAATTTTCTGGTAGTTAATACAAGCCTAAATAGGTCTATCGAAAAAAGTGTCCATGTAAATTACCGACCCAGATTTTAAGAGCAACTAATGATAATTTTTTTCTCTAGCACACAACCTCTGATCTGTATTTACCGTCGAATTATATCCATCTATCATTGACAGAAACACAATCACTCTTATAAACTTGAGCACTTAGCGGGTGTTACTAAAACGAAGACCCAAAAACGAAGACCTGAGACCTAAGACCCCATGGACTAAAACGAAAACCTCTTTGACTAAAACGACGACCCCTTGGACTAAATCGAAGACCCCATGGACTAAAACGAAGACCCCTTGGACTAAAACGAAGACCCCTTTGACTGAAACGAAAAACGACTGATGCTAACCGCTGAGGGCATTGCCCGCTCCCGTAATTTGTTACGGCGATTTGGGAATGTTGTGGAATTTTTGTGGTTATAATGCGCCCTCGGTGAAGAAGATTGGCGTGGCAAGCCCAAAGGTCATCAGCGTGGCTATGGGAGGCCTGACAATCAAAAAGCTTATGACAGGATTTGTCTTGAAGACTTCCGGCAAACGTGTTTTTGGCGCGTAGTTGGGGTTTGGGGGAGGAGAGGGACCGTTGGCTTTCTGATATTATATGGTTCTAAATTCAATGTCGAATGGTTCGGATGTCATCTCGGGTGTGATGAGTTAAGAACTTACTAAAATGTCGAAGAATTGTATCAATGCATTTAAAAAACAAAACAGTGACAACACGTAGTATAGGGAGGAAATAACAAGGAGGCATTTCTCATTGACGAATTCACGGAGAGAGGAACCTCGCGCTCTATTTATTACTTTTTACCTCGTCAATAGAGAAAAAAAAGGCGTTCGATCGAGAACATTACTCGAGTAAGGGTTAACATTTCAAGTTTCATTTTAGCGAGGTTCATTTGTCTTTATGCCGGATTTTATTTGCTTTATTTATATTCCTGTCATACGCTGTTACGATATTCTGTCCTCTATTGTTAAAAGATGACTCATCTTTACGGCTTAAACAGTTGCCGACTGGAAAGTTTCTAAAGAGACCATGGATAAGAGAGTATGGTTCACTAACGAAGCAAGTATTTGGAAGTGTTTTGTTTGACAGAGACAATAAATAGTCAGGTCGCTTAGCGTCAGTATCGTTACTGGCCGGATACAAGCACCAATTTTTGTATGCACTGTTTTTTCGATGTAAGATTTAAATTTAGTCGTGGATCCATCGAAAATATTTCCTCTATCTCATCAAAAAGAGCGTGGAAAAATTAGGTTAATTTGCATAAATTCAAAATGGCGTCGCTAAGTACT